TTATAGATGACAATTTCCTAACTCAAAAAGTGTTGCTGCCAACACAGGGGAAGTCTACGTTAGACTTTGTCCTAACAGATAAAAAGGAACTGATCATAGAACTAAAAATTAATGGTAGCTTAGGTACAAGTAAATGTGATCACATTTATAATGTGCAAACAGAATAAAGTTCAGACCAGTAATATACATACTTGGTGCTTTAATAAGGACAATTTTACAAAACTGAAAACGATTATGAGCCAAATCAGTTGGGAAGAAGAATTTAATCAGAAAAATATTAATTATATTTGGGAATCATTTAAGAGCACCTTACCAGATGCCAAAAAAACTACAATTCCACAACTGAGGAACATGGCTAATAAACCAATTGGTCTAGAGAAGAAATTAAGGCAGCTGTAAAAAATAAAAAATGAATATAGCAATCGGAAGAAAGAGGAAATTGATGGTAAAGAATATAAATCAGAAGTTAAGAATTATAGAAAATTGATAAGGGAAGCCAAGGGACACAAGGAAACATCTATGGACAGTAAGAAGTTTTGTTAATATATTAGGAACAAAAAGAATCCCGACAATAGTCTTGGTCCACTGCCAGATGGAAGTGTTAGAATTATCAATAATAATGCAGAAAAGGCAGAGGTATTCAATAGATATTTCTGTTCTGTATTTGCGGGGAAAACAGATGATGCAGTCTCATCATATAGTGATAATAGTAAACATTCCGTTCCACTTGTAACTCTGGAGGATGTTAAATAGAAGCTACTAAAATCAGACATTTTTAAAACAGCAGGTCCAGATAACTTGCATCCAAGAGCTTTAAAAGAGCTGGCTGAGGAGCTCGCTGGACCATTAATGTTGATTTTCAATAAATCTTGAACACTGGGGAAGTTCCAGAAGACTGGAAGAAAGCTAACACTGTGCCAATTTTTAAAAAGTGTAAACAGGATAACCCAGGTTATTATAGGCCTGTCAGCCTGACATTGATGCCAGGCAAGATAATGAAGCACCTAATAATAACATTCTCCTCTTTTAGTCCCTTAATGCAAATCAACATGGATTTATAGAAGAAAGATTATCAAACTAATCTGATATATTTTTATGAGATTACACATTTGATTGATAAAGGTAATAGTGTTGGCATAATATATTTAGACTTCTGTCAGGCATTTGACCTGATGTTACATGACATTTGGATTAAAAAACTAGAACAATATAAATTTAACATGACACACATTAAGTGGATTAAAAACTGGCTAAATGATAGGTCTCAAAATGTAACTGTAAAAGGGGAATCATCATTGAGTGGGTCTGTTTCCAGTGGGGTCCCGCAGGGCTCTTGATCCTACGGTATTGAACATCTTTATCAATGACCTGGAAGAAAACATAAAATCATCACAGATAAAGTTGCAGATGACACAAAAATTGGGGGAGTGGTAAATAATAAAGAGGACAGGTCACTCATTCAGCTATCTAGATTGCTTGGTAAGCTAGGCGCAAGCAAACAATATATATTTTAATATGGCTACATGTAAATGTATACATCTAGGAACAAAGAATGTAGGCCATACCTACAGGATGGTGGACTCTAACCGGGGAAGCAGTGAGTCTAAAAAAGATTTGGGGATGGGGGTGGATAATCAGCAGAACTTGAGCGCCTAACATGATGCTATGGCCAAAACAGCTAATAGGATCCTGGGATGCATAAATAGGGGAATCTGGAGTAGAGAGGTTATTTTACCTCTGTGTTTGGCACTGGTGCGACAGCTGCAGGAATATTGTGTCCAGTTCTGGTGCCCACAATTCAAGAAGGGTGTTGATTAATAGGAGAGGGTTCAAGGAAGAGCCAGGAATATGAGCAAAGGATTAGAAAAATGATTTATAGTACCAGACTGAAGGAGCTCAATCTATTAGCTGCCCTTTGACACAGCTCCAATACTTTATTAGTCTAGGTAGGGTCCAGACATGCTTTTATTTTGCTGGAAATGGTGTGGCAATATACTACAGCTATTATAACATGCTTTAGCAGACCACTGACTCTGGCCTATACTACATGTTACACGTTACTCATCGTTTTTCGACTGCTTTCAAATCATTGTTTTGTTTTCCTCAGAAAATTTGACTCCTGCTTTTAAATTAATGGGAATTAGTTTTAATGCAAAATTCCTGTCTTCACAGGAGGATTCATCGTCATAAAATAATGGGGGGGAAACTCCTTCAAGGTCAGCCAGGCATCCATAAATTCAGACCTATCCCTCTTGAATCTAAAAAAAAAATTGGGTTGGAAATCAGAATTAAAAGCTTTTGGGGGTCAATTTTCATACTTCAGTTTTAGAGAAAAATTGTGAGTGGGGAAAAACAATTAGCAAAAGGAGGCAGTGCTATGTAGTGGTTAGAGGGGCTTATGAATCAGGAGACCGGAGTACTGTGCCTAATTCTGCCATGTGGACCATGCATATATCATTTAGTCTCACTGTGCCCCTATCTGTGCAAATGGAGATAATGCTCCGCAAAGTGCTTTGAGGTCCTCCGCCAAAAGTGCACATCATTGCTTCAGAACCCCAAACAAGGCTCTTCTTTGCTGTGTGCCCCAAAGGAGAACAGGAAAGACGGTCTTGCGGAGAAGGCACGGGAGTGGGAGGCAGGGCACCTGGGTTCTCCTCTGAGCTTTGGGCCAAGTTACAATTTCTCTGCGCCTCTGCTCGCTCGCCTCTACCAGGGGGATAAGAATCCTGAGGCCTGTGCAGACAGCAGTGAGATGGGACATACACAGGAGCAGAGTACCGGCTGCTACATTTTATTCTTCCCCACATGCAAAACCAACTGGCCTGAGCACGCCCTGGAGTCTAAAGCTGATGGGACCAATCCCAGCGCAGGCATTTCAGGGTCCTGAGGGCAGAGAAAAACCTGACCCCATATAGCATCTCCCCCCCCCCCCCCACCGCAGTGAGTACAACCAGCCAGGGCTGGCGGGGAGTTGGAGGTGCTGGCACTCAGTGCCAAGGGGGTTTCTGGGGCAGGGGTGGGGGCTCAGGGTGGCAGAGAGCTGCAGCTGCTGCCCATGGCAAGCGCCTCGCCTCCCCCAACGCCACAGCAGCGCCGCCAGCCAGCTGCTGTGTCACTTTCCCCGGCCCAGGGGCAGCTCTTACGTGGCGCGGGGCGAGGAGCCTGCGGCTCCCACCCAGCTCGGTGCTCGGAGCCTTTGTCCGGCTCGGAGCCGGGCGGAGCGAGGCGCGGGGGATGCCGCGGGAGGAGGAGGCGGCCGGGGCTACTCGAATCAGCCGGAGGTGCCAGAGCCGGGGGGCGTCTCTGCCAGGCAGCCGGGGCCGCACCCAAATCTGGGCAACCAGGCGCAGGTCGCCAGCACCGCTCGCTGGCACGGGCTGGGGCAGCGGTGAGCAGCGGGGCCGGGCTGGTCCTATCCCACCCCCCTTAATTCCTGCAGCGTGTCGCGGGTAACACAGCAGGGCAGGGCGTGGACATAAAGAGCTGCCAAGGGGGGGGGGGAGAGAAAAACCATCGAGGTGGCTACAAATCCGCACCCAGAATTTCACTGCGTTGGATCTGGTTAATGCGAATTGGGATCTACCTCTTAAACCACCACCCATTGTGATTCCCATACACCCACCTCACTACCTCTGTCTGTACCAACCCCCGGTTAGTTAGGGCTTGGTTTATTCATACCGAAGTCGTGTAAAACCCGTATCAAAATAAAGCCCACTCGTTCTATGCACACACCGCCTAATTGCAATATATGAATAGGATCCGAATTCAATGTAGAAAAATGCACAGCTAGCCAACACAACCACCGTCACTTAATTCTAAGTAACCACACACACAAAACAACCCACCACTCTCTAAAGCAGCTGGGTTCAGTGGAAACTAAAAGGATTACAATATCTCCCACCAATTAATCCTAGATCATCATCGGGAGGGACAGAAGGCCCCGAGAATGCATCATTAATCAACAACATACAAAAAAAGCTTCGATCCATCAGACACGTTTCTGGAACAAACAGTATTGTAGGAAACAGAGCAATCTCGCCTCCCCATATATTGCTCCCTATTGCCGGGGGGGGGGGGGCACACCTCATTTATCTAAATATTCCTTTAATAGGGGTCTGACCGCGATCAAGCTGCGTGCACCCCCCACACACACACCTAAGAGCAGGCATCCCCCGAGTGCCTCGTTTGTCCGAGTGATTGTATCGGAACGGAACGATGCCATGAAAACAACACACACGCAATCCCGAGAGCTCCAGAAGGCCCAATGTGCAATTCCTGATCCCGTTCCCACCACACACCGCAATGGGAGTTCTCCGACAGCGGGGGGAGGGAGGAGTTCGGTCTAGACAACATGCAATCAACACACATCCACGCAAGACATTGCCCCTCTGGAAAAAAAAAAAACAACCAACCAGAATCACATGGGAGGGATAAAAATGAAAGCAAACTACATGCCGCTGTGGCCTGTGGAGAGGAAAGGGAACAGGATCATGAATAATCACAGCGCTGGGCACAAAAGCATCCAGGCCACCGACATGCCCCTTTGGATTCGTAGCCCCCCCCTCCCAAAAAAATGCAAACAGCTGCAAGCTGGCCACCACAACTGCAACCCAATGCAGCAAAAGGAGGCTTCCCAACAAAGGGAAAACACACCCCTCCTTGGAACACAGACATGACAGCGACAACCTGGTTTACAGTCCACAGCTCTAGGCTCTTCCCTGCCACCAACACTGAAATGCCCTTTTGCCGGTGAGCAAAAGCTGCTCCCAGCTGAGAAATAGCTTGCCTGGCGCTGGGAAGGCAGCTGCAAACCAAGCTCCCACACCCCCCAGACAGTTCCAATGGTGCGTATGTGTCTTTTCCAGTGTCCTGCTATTAGCCGGCTCTTTCCTGGCAATCTGCACAGACACCCACAAAACAAACAAGTGCCAAGGGTGCAAAAAACCCCAACCAGACACATCAACCCCACCTCCCCCAATCTAGAGATTATCTGGATTTACCTTGCTGGCCGTCCAAGGCTAGGGCAGAGGGTGGCCTGGCTGGGGGAAGGGGGTCTGGATGTCAGATTCCTGCCTTGAGGTTCATGAGTCCTGCCTTGATGAGGAAGGTCTGACTGCCCAGTGCACAGGAGGAGAAAAACCCGGCTCTGACACAGGCAAAGAGAATGCAGGAATGTGACGTCTCAGCTCCTCCTAACGACCCACGTGCATAGACTTTAAAAGAAAGGGACACGCTGGCCATGCTGGGAAATGTAGTTCCACTCCTCACCCTCCCTGGGCAGGGAAGAGTTCTGGGCATGGAGTTTCTCTCCATCTGGGTAAGGGGGAGTTTGGCTTGTACCTCTTTAGAGGTCGGAGTTAGGGCCAGGGTCCGTCTGAAGTGGAACAAGGAAATCCTCTTGCATTAAGGCTCCTATTTCCCCCCTACACACACTCAAACACTTAAAAACTCTTCAGATAAAGCACTGGGGACCTATATACTGAAGGCAACAATCTCATAGTGGCCGGGAGAAAGTTTAGCTAGATGGATTATTTCAGGGGGTCTCAAACTTCATTGCACCGCGACCCCCTTCTGACAACAAAAATTACTTCATGAGCCCAGGAGGGGGACCAAAGCCTGAGCCTGCCCAAGCCCCACTGCCCTGGGAGGGTAGACCAAAGCCCAAGCCCCACCACTCCAGGCAGGGAGGGGGGGCAAAGCTGAAGCTCAAGGGCTTCAGCCCCAGGCAGGGGGCCTACAACCTGAGTCCTGCTGAATCCCTTGGGCTTTGACTTCAGCCCTTGGTAGTGCGGTTGAGGCTTCCTGTAAGTCTAAGCCAGCCCTGGCAACCCCATTCAAGGGGGGTCCTGACCCACTTTGGGGTCCTGACCCACAAATTGAGAACTGCTGGATTATTTCAACTGTAAGATCCCTGGAACAGGGACCTAATCTCTCTTTCTTTATTTGTAAGACACCCAAGCAAATGTTGTGTGTTATATACATAATTATTATTTATATTGAAGTAATGCTTAAAGGCCACACTCAGTGATTAGGACCCTACTGCGCTAGGCGCTGTACACTCACATCTGACTCCAAGAGTTTTTATACTTCAATAGATTGTAAGCTCTTTGGGGGGCAGGGACTGTCTTTAGAGATTACTAATAATTATAACTGACTGGGGTGGGGATAGCTCAGTGGTTTGAACATTGGCCTCTTAAATCCAGAGTTGTGAGTTCAATCCTTGAGGGGGGGCCATCTGGGGCAAAATCAGTACTTGGTTTTGCTAGTGAAGGCAGGGGGCTGGACTCAACTCAATGACCTTCCAGGCCTATGAGATAGGTATATATATTTTTTATATTGCTACCTTAGTCTTTAGGGCAGGGACCCTCTCTAGGAGCTACTAATTAGTGCTCTATTAGGCCAGGACTTTTCCCATTCAATAATAAAAATATAGAACTCAACACTTGCAAAGTACTTTGCATGCAATGATTAGTGAGGCACAGATGCTAAGGGACCTGCCCAAGGTCATAGAGGAAGTCAGTGGCAGAGCAAAGCCAGCACCTCCATCATGGCCTTGCCCTCCAGGTATAGCACTGAGTATAGCTTGGCCAGATCAGTGATTCTAGGCATTGCTAGAAGTGGTGTGCCTACCCCAGCTGCTTCTGCTTATGGCTAGAGGTCATGGCAGCTCATCGCTGCCCCAATGTTCAGTTGCCAGCTGGTAGGGAGCATGCAGTAACTCAAGTGCTGTCAGCAGTAGCCTGGGCAGTAATGCCTCCTACTACTGTGAAGTTGGTCTGGCCTCCCAAAATGAGTGCGATAGTTAACAGTCAGTATAATTTGTCCTTTAGGCACAATGAAACCTGGGTGTTCCATCTTTCAGCCATTTGGGGCCCCGGTGCAACGAATTGGAGGGTTATGCCACAGCACAATCCCTTTGACTTCAATTGGGGCCTGTCACCAAAGAATCAACAGCTGGATCACGACCTAACTTTTGGTACCTCAGTTTCCCATCTTTACAATATGGCATAACACTACTCCCTTTCTCCCATCTTTCAGCTGTCTTTTCTCTTTAGATAGCAAGCTCTTTGAGGCAAGGGCTCTCTCTTTGTGTATGTTTGGACAGGGCCTAGAACAACAGGGCCCCGAATTCAGCTGGGGTTGGTAGGCACTACCTTGCTATAAAGAATGGTATTGGCTAACAATCATAAATTGGGCAATAGCAGCTAAAACATTTTGAAACAAAGACACTTTATTTTTATTTAATTATAATTAAAACAATGTTAATACACATAGTATGCAAAAGACGTTTTAAATTAAAAAATAGAACTTATGCTTTTCCACATGTTCAGATGAATTTTACTTATTCCTTAGACCTCATTACAGCAGCTTTGAAATGTTTTCCTAGGCATTCAAATCCATTCTCTTTTCTCCCCTCAGGTCTACTCTATACCATCAAGTTCTCTAGATGACAGTTTCTTATCTGATTGTGTCTTTCTTAGTTATATTTAAGACACTTACAAACTTTTCTCGCGTATGTTACCTTGCAGTTTCTCTTTAACATGCACCTGTATAAATATATAAAGCTGGCAGACATACAAGTTTCTTTCAGGGAGAATTGCCACGATACATTAACCCGTCTAGCTGGCCTTTAAAAAAATTAATTTTATGTTGACAGTGAAATCGGATTCAAAAGATTTCTCCCTGCCGTGCTTTATTTTTGACCATATTGTACATAACCATTCCTGGGCATGTTGCCATGACAACCATATATTCACTGGAGGGTGTCTGTAATTGGGAGAAGACATTGTTAATTTAGTTCTGGATTTTTATTTTAGTCACCGTTTTAGGCAAGAGGAACTGCTCAGATTTTAATATTTTTGCCCAAGATCAATTTAATTATTAAACAGCACCAGTAGTATCGCTCAGTTGAAGGTTGAGTTGGCATTTATCTTATAACGAGGGAGCTCACTGTAATGGACAACAGCTGTAACCAAGGCCCACATTCACTGGCCATTATACTGGCCATAGCGTAATGTAGACAGACTCTGGTCGTCAGCAGCTGGGATCAGACCTGGGACCTCTGGAGCGTAATGCATTAGCCTCTATTGCATGAGCTAAAAGACACATGCCACTTAGACCAGTGGTCTCCAAAGTGGGGTACGTGCACCCCAGGGGGTGTGCAAGAGGATCCTTGGGGGTGCGTGGCAGGAGGAGCTACCTTTTTTTTTTTTTTGTCGCTTCGGCAGTTCGGGCGGGAGTCCGAGCGGCTTTTTTTTCTCTTTTTTTTTTCCTTCGGCGCGGCAGGGGGTGCGTGCTCAAAAATTTTTACTGATAGGGGTGCGCGATCAAAAAAGTTTGGAGACCACTGACTTAGCCAAAGCTGTAGCAGGCTCATCAATCTATAGCTAGTCTAGGTGCCACTACAGGAGGACAGAGTGCCACACCAAGCAGGTCTGGGTTACACTAGCACCCACAGCCTTCAGCTCCACAACACAGACCACTGCCCAGCCACCTACGACCCCAGGCTGAGCACCCAGAACTAGGGTTGCCAACTTTCTAACTACACAAAAACAAACACCCTTGCCCCCCCTGCCCTGCCCTTCCCTGAAGCCCCACCCCCTTCTCTGAGGCCTCACCCCCCCAGTCACCCCATCCCCTCTCCCTCCGTTGCTCATTTCCCTCACCCTCACTCACTTTCACCGAGCGGGAGCAAGGGGTGAGGACTGTGACTGGGCGTGCAGTCTCTGGATGGGCCAGAGATGAGGAGTTTGGGGTGCAGGAGGGGGCTCGGGACTGGGGCCGAGGGGTTCAGAGTGCGGGAAGGGACTCAGGGCTGGGGCAGGAGTTTGGGGTGTGGGAGCGGGTGCGGGCTCTGGCTGGGTGGCACTTACCTCAGGTGGCTCTTAGGTGGAGGCATGACCAGGCAGCTCTGTGCGCTGCCTGCACCCGCAGGCACCACCCCCGCAGCTCCCATTGGCCCGCAGTTCCCAGCCAGTGGGCGCTGCGGAGCCGGCGTTGGTGGGAGGAGCCAGCGCACAGAGACCCCGTGGCTGCCCTTGAGCCTAGGAGTCGTATATCCAAGCCGCTTCCAGGAGCCGCATAGAACCAGGGCAGGCAGGAAGCCTGCCTTAGCCCCACCGACCGGACTTTTAGCGGCCCGGTCAGAGGTGCTGACTGGAGCAGCGAGGGTCCCTTTTCGACTGGGAGTTCCAGTCAAAAACCAGACACTTGGCAAACCTACCCAGAAACAAGATTGTCAAACAACTCCATGCCTAAAGTTAGGTCCTCAAGTCCATTGTTAGGCAGATAAATAAGGATCCTGGTTTTCAAGTGTGCTGAGCACGCAGGCTATGTCCACAGTAGGAAAAAAATTGTAGCTTGAACATGTATTAACTAACATACAAAAATCCTTGTGTAGACAAGGCAGGTGTATTTTTAGTTGATGTGAGGTAAGCTCTAGGTTCCCCTAAGGTGGTGGTGGGGGTAGTGTTTTTACAAATACGCCTTTTTTCCTAGTTAAAGGCAAGACCTCAACAGCTCCCACTTAGTTACATGCCTAAATGTGGATTTAGGCGTCTTATTGTAGTCATCCCATTTTGACAATCATGGGCCATGAGAGTAGCTTTACTGCCATGAGCAGTCTCATTGAATTCATTGGGACAACTCACATGAGTACAGTTACTCACTTGCATAAGCATTTGCAGAGTCGAGACTTAAAGCAGAACCCACAGTAGCTAAGTTAATAGAGGGAACCTATGTGCTATCAGGTTTGTAGTACTACTGCCTTGACATGGTTAGGACACAATTTGGTCTGGTCTGCACAGGCAAAACCAAACTGTGTCATAACATGATTGGGACACAACTGTGTTGTGAATGCATTCCCTACCAGGGTTGTAACTGTAACAACGACAAGTCCTTATTCAACATGTATGTGAGACTGCTTGGAGAGATCACAAAATGCCATGGGCTACCAGGCTATCAGTAAGTCAGTGGCACAGAGCCCAACCACATCCATCTCAGATACTGCCGTCTCCTGGCTGTTCCGGTATCTGAAGGAAATTTGAACCGGGATGAAAGGAAGCTGGTGCAAGCTAAATCCAGGGAAGATGGAGGTTATTATTCATTATTTACAGCATAGAACACCCAATGTGCTAAGGAACTTCCATTTTCATTAGTACCAATGGAACTCCGGCTAAGGAAGG